AGAAACCAATAAAACATTACACTAGACCTAAATCTCTTTGGGATTTAAAAGAAGATTATACAACAAATTCTGGTTTAAAATTGTATTCATGTGAAGCATCAAAACGTACTGAGCAGTGCATTGGTGTATTAGAAATGAAAAATGAAGAAAATAAGATTAAAGATTTATCAAGCTCTATTAATGGTCAGCGTTTTGTTGCTAGTGGCACACAAGTTCCAGCAAATAATTATACTAAAATGAATGAAGATCAATTAAAAACTTTACCTTATTTTCAAAACTATAAAAAAGGAATCCCATCAAAAGTAAATATTAAAATTATTTTCCAAAATGACTAAAAGTATGTTTTAGTTTYGTTTTATGTTTAGGTATTGTATGTGAAAAATATTGCCAAAAGTGTTTGTGAAAAACATTTGATATCTGTATTTGGAAAGTACAATAAGTTGCAAAATTCAGACATAGTTTATAGATATATGAAGAAAGGAAAAATGAAGGGACAAGCTTTTATTGAATTTGAAAGTAATTATTGTTTTCATAAATATTAATTTTTATAAGTTTAATTGTTATTATAAATTAAACCAGAAGTAGTAATTTTAGAATCATGGAGGTTCAATTTCGATTATAGAATATAAAACACAGTATACTAGTTTTTTTAAATAAAAAAATATTTGTTTTAATAAATCATTGTGCTTAAAATAAAGACAAACTTTTAATTTACTGAAATTATTTAGACATTGAAGTGGCAGAGAAAGCATTAGAAGAAAACCTTGGACTTATACTTGAAGAAAAGCCATTAATTATTCAGTTTGGATATAAATGATAATTGTTAATAATTTAAGTTTGATTAAAATATATTTACATTTGCAAGTTCAAGTTCATTTTTAAAATATGTAAGTATAAATATTAAAAATAACAATAATTTAACAACTATATTATTTTTATGTTAATATGTTAATATTTGTTTTGAATATATAGAATCATTATAATTTTAAATTTTTAGAAAATATAAAACATTAAATACATCAAAAGTATTCCTAAAAGTGTGCTCTGTGCACAATACTCTTTTATGGTAGTATGAGTATGGTCTTCTAGTTGTTGGTTCAGCTATTACAACTAAAATATTTTAAAGTTTCCCTACATTATTATATTTAATAATCATACATCTCGTTAGTTGTCAGATATCATTGTCCAAGATACACACATAAGTGGTGCCACCTTTTCTTTACCAACACGGCAACACGAGACGTGAGCTTAAGAAATAATGTGACGTATCCTGTGTATCAAGTGCATGTTCTATCATTGTGTAAGCATCATACCTAACTTCCTGATTTCATAGTTGTTATTTTTTTTTTTACCAAAATTCTATATCATACCTCGTGTTACTTATAATTATGATTTATGTTCATAAATGCATCTTTACCTATTTCYTGTATGATTTCATAGTTATGCAGTACCAATAATCTACAAGTTATAGACATAAAACCTCTTATAAATCAATTAAAAAAATTATTAACATTTTATATTAAAAGTTTTTGTAAAATGTCATTAAGATCACCTATATTAAACCCCTTAAAAATGCTTGCTCGACATTAAAATATATCCATTGTAAAATGATAATCACGCTGCATTTTGAGTAATATGCAACTAAATATGTATCGCCGTCATCAGTCCATTGACCTTTGTATATTTGTACATGTTTAATTATTTTATATTAATAGCACAGAATAGATTAAATTCTATTTACTCTATAATCTATTCTGTGCTATTAGTAACTACTGGCTTTTACAATGATCAATTTATGATCATAAGTGTCAATTCACATCCAAAATGTAAAACAATGCGTCGTCACTGATAATCAACAGTCAGGTCATTAGTTAGAAATTTAGAACATACATAAATACATAATAGTGTACAATACTGTTATGGGAGACTGGTAGATGAGCCGGATACAAAACTCAAAATGCTTTCTGTTTTTATATTTATTGATGTATTTTCTGCCGCACCACTAACTTATTTTGTTTTCAATTTTTCATGCAGTCACATTATTGCACTAACTATGCATCACCTATAGTTTAAAATACCAAATTATAGACTTTTGACTTGTGAACTCTGCGCTTTGTTAGTTGGCTTATGATCAATGTTTATTTTCTGACTTAGACCTCAGGTAGGTACTGATAAGTGGTTTTTGTAAATTGACGATTATGAAAATATCAATTATAATATTTGTGACATATTATCTTATATTTAAAACGCTATAAATTATAACATTCTAGTTCTATGAGTGGCGTAATTACAAAGGTTTTTGTGATAGGAGATATGAATATATTATAACCACCGACTAGAGAGGGGAACTGCACTCAACACCCCCTTTTGTACTTACAACTAATTTTGTGTTTAAACATAATGAATTTAATAATAACCAGATAAGTCCATAACGCTCTTGATTTCTAGAAAGACACTGTAATGGATGTGTTAAATTTGAATCGAATGCTATAAAATCAATATATATGAAAAATTATTCTGGGCAAAGACGGTTGTGTTTAAAGTAATTCATTTTATAATCAAGCAATAGGCTTTAAGTAGGTACTACAGTAGATTAAATTCATTTTTGCCAAAAAAAATGCATTCGAAAATATCATTGTGTGTATAAAATATAGTAATATATTCTAAGTTTCAAGTATTCACGAATAATATTTTTAAATAACAGCAAAATAATTAAATCGAATAACTAACTTGTTCTTGGTGTTAATATGGTAATTTAATAGATAATTTTGTTAAATTTTCAATAGGATTAGGTTTGAAGGTGATATGTAAAAAAATCGTAATTAATTAGACTTTTTTCATATGAATTTTCTACATCAGATGAATTAAAATTTATTATTTGTAATAAAATGACCAAGAAGGATCTTTCTCCTATATTTCTCATATTCCCATGTGYAATTAGCCCCTGGCCTCCTGGGTTCTTTGCTTATTTTTTAAAAATTAATGCATTGATAGTACCAAAGTAGTAGATTTCAAGTACCATAAGCTATTGATGGTACCGTGTCACCCTTAGATGGGAACCTCTAAGCTAATCAATAGCCATGTCTAACATAATATTTTCATTCAGTTTCAAAAGATTAACAATGAAAAAAAAATAAACCGTCTATCCTCCATCATTTGTAAAGAGACATCTGTTTCCATAGTTTTTCTGATTATTTGGATGGATTGTAATAAATGTAATAGATGCCAAATTTTGGACTGCATTTTTTGTTTTTGTTTTTATTAGGATAGTTCATATAATAAAAACAGTACAATTACTTAATAAATAGATATCTTTAGAATTCAAATAAATATTACTATGCTTAGCAGTTAAMAWATTATACAATGTATATTAAATATTAAGATAAATAAAATAATCAGTATGGTAAATTATTTAAAAAGTAAATACTTTCATTTTAATGCATAGTTAACAAAATCCATAACAATTTTTGTGAAAATATTGAAAAGATAATCTGTGGTTAGGACATCCATACTTCTGCCTTGTTGATGGTAATTTGGTATTATTTCAAATCTTTGGATACATACCCTAAAAATATAGTTTAAATTAATTAATTATTATTGATGATTATCTGATAAGTTAAGTTTTAATGTTTAGTGAATAGAACAATGTCATTAGTTTTGAATTTTGTTATTAGAAAATAAATAATAAAGTTATTAGAAAATAATAATAATAATAATAAAAATAATAATAATAAAGTTATTAGAAAATCCTAACCTAAAGAAATCTACATTAGTTTAACGTAATAATTATAAAACTATAATATTAAATTCAGTGGCGTGCCCAAGTGGGGGGGAGGTTAGGGGTTATATCCCCCCCATTGGCTTTTTTTTGTTAACTTCAACTTATTAGAATTACTGTAGA